TTTTTTTTTTTTTTTTTTTTTTTTTTGGCTGCCCTGTGTGGCTTGTGGGATTGAGGAAGTGGAGGCTGCCAGTCTCTTAAGGCCTGGGCCCAGACCAGAAACTAACACCAGGTCACTCCACCATATCCTATTAGTGAGAGCAGACGAAGAGCCCACTCACCCCAGATTCAAGGGGAGGGGACATAGACATAGACCTCACCTCTCAATGAAGGAATATCAGAGAATTTGTGGCTATTTTTAACTTATCACTTATGCTTATATTTTCTTATCAAAATTTAACAAATACCACTGGAACTAATTTTATTCTTTACTTTCCTATAACATTGAGCAGATTTGACCAATTCTGTATACAGTGAGATGTTTGTTGGGTCAGATGAGTTTGACTTCTATCAAATTGGAGTCAACACTGAAATAACATTTTGCTTCAAAGAACTGAAGGTAAACCAAAATTTGTGTCCAATTAGAATTATCAATGGCAATTTTTAATAAAGATTTCACATTTTTCCCCTCTTTTTCCTTTCAGGGAATGCTGACATTTTCAGAAGCTACACATGCTCCTATAGCCATTCATTTTGATTTTCCTGGGAAGTAGGTCCTTGGGAAATTTCTGAGTTTGTTTCTTTTTCTTTTGTCATACATTAATAATAAAACCCTTTGGTTCACTTTGAAATTAATTCACACCTCAGGAATTCCGTAACTTTACTATCAACATTTATCAAACTAAAATTTTGAAAGATGTCATAACCTAGAGTTCTTTTTATTGGTAACTTGATTTAGCAAGATATATTATTCTGAAGAATAAAAACATTTATAAACTTGACATACTGAATAAATTGCCAAATTAGAAAATTATACATGGCTTAAACAAGTTAAATCTCTATGAAACTATGGTACTTTATATGATATTTCAGAACTAAAATTTCAGAGAGATTGGGCTAGGATGAATGTGTTTTATGAAATTGGATGTGATGATTTCTAAGGACGCTTTTAGTTCTTAGGACTGTCTCAATTTGTGAAAAGACAAGACTTTTACTGTTTCTTTTTACTCCAAAATTATCATTTTTTAATGTTTTCCCAATGTCCATCAGAAAATGAGTGTGAGTGTGATGAGTGTGATGTTTGCTCTGACTTTGTCTTTTTTAGACCCATGGCTTTAAGTATTGATGATATGCTATTGGAAGCCAACTTTATTTTGGCTACATTAGCTGATGAGCCAAGTAGAGCATCTTCTCCACAATCACTGTGTCTTTCACAAAAACGAAAAAGGTAAGGCCATGTTTTAACGTCTTTATTGGTTGGGATAAAGCCATTGCAGTCTTATTCTGAAATAATTCAATGGCATTCATCTAGGAAACAATTGAGGATGAAAACATTAGAAGATCAGAAATTTTAACTGAATCAGGAAAGCTCCAGGAAGACCTAACTGTAACAGAGAAATATCACCCATCTTTCACTAGATATTTGCTTTTTCTCTTATGATCACAATTTAACAGGACTGCCTGGTTTATCTTTGTTGTTACCTAAAACTCATTTCCATTTTCAGTAGTTGTTTTTTAGGAGTGATATAGTGTTAAGGTTCACAGGAAAGTTTGTATTCACTACCCAGAACTCTCTTTCTTAGAGAGAGAAACAGCCATTGCTTTTCTTTCTTTTTTTCCCCTTTTGTCTCTTTTTTTTTTTTTTTTTTTAATTTTGGCTGCACTGTGCGGCTTGAGGGATCTCAGTTCCCCGACCAAGGATTGAACCTGGGCCACAGCAGTGAAAGCACCGGATCCTAACTGCTGGACCACCAGGGAGCTCCCCCTTTTGTCTCTTAATAACTTTTTTTTGGTGGAAGGTGCTTCATTGTAAAAGTAACATAAACTTACTGTGGGAAATTTGGAAAATGCAGGAAGGTACAAAGAATAAATTAAAAAACACCGACAATTTTACCATCTAGTGATAGCCACTGTTAATATTTGGCACACTGTGTTTTCTTTCAGACTTTTAATTTTGCATACAGTTACATTTTAAAACAAGATTGGGTCATATAGCATATGTAGTTTTGTATTCTGTTTTTTCCCACAAAATATTATATTGTGAACATTTTCCACTATTGCTGATAATAACTTGGAAACATGATTTTTAATGACTCTATACAATTTTATCATACAGATATACTGTAATCTATTTGACTTTTTTTCTAACTTCGCCCTATTACCGTGTCACAAGATTGTCTCATACACATTGGGTTGCTTTACTGAAAAATTTGAATCTGTCAAGAGAATTTCTAAATAGTCATGTATGTAAATCTTAACTTTCAACAATTAGTTCAATGTTATTTCAGTATATTCCCTAAACCAGTGTTATTGTCATCCCATATTGATCCATTAGTTATATAAAAATATATCTTTCAAAGTAAACAGTTCATTCATTTAATCTCTATTAATACCTCAGGTCAGAGCTGATACATTCAAATTCAGAGGCTGGTAAAAATGTAACCAGCAAGGACGCAGAGTATATCTCGAGAAAAGCAGTACCCAAAAGGCTTTATTCTGAGACTCGCACGAACGTCTCTTCATTGGAAAACTGTGGCAGCCCTTTAACGGAAAGAGCGAACGGAGACATTAGTGAAGTACCAGAAAGCAGTGTCAGTGACACGGAGGAAGTGCCAGGATCTTCACATCTCAGGAAGGTAAAAGAAAAACACTGAGACACAACTGCATCTCAGTCAAGAGTTCTCATCATCCGTCTCCCTTTGCAATCTCCCTGCCTCAGCCCACCCCCAATATCTGGGAAATTAATTTTATTATTTTTTGCTAGGGGAGAGGTGAAACCAGTCTGACATGGAGAAAAGGCTGATTTACAGAATGTCAATACAAAATAGTTAAATTGCTCATTGAGTAATTCTAACAAAGTATATTCAAATAGAAATTTGAGTCACTTGTTTTAAAGAATAAATTATGATTTCTTATAGCATACTTATCTTTGAATACAAATAATATGCTAAAGTCATATACTTTGCTTTCTAAAATACATGTCCTTCTAATTTTATTTTTCAAGTTTGGTTGGGAAATCCTTTATTCATGGTAGTACAAATGTAAACTTCATCACAACAAACATCACAAATTCCTTCATAGTGGTGTCCCAGTTAAGAACATTATTATGTTACCAACATTTTACTAGATGGATGATAAACTTCACAAAATGCTATAATGTTAAACCTTAAGAAATCCACTGAAATGAAGATAAACATACTTTATTAGAAGTATCAAATAATGATAGTCCCTGTTTTACATGTTTATATTGATGTTTTATTCAAGCTTGTTTTGCTGTTGTTATTATTATTGGTTTGGAAATATGAGTTTCTTAGAGTTAGAAATAACTCTAAGGAGAAGTAATATTCTAAAAGTCACTACTTACACTGTATGAAGACTTTTAGGGTAGTAAAATTGGATAGTAAACTCCACTTATTATTCAGTTTGATGCCACAGTGTTTATTGAATACCTGTTATATGCCTGGCACTTATGGCAATTTTCTCTTCTCGTGAATTACTAGCTTGGCCATAAAGTGAAAACTGAAATCTGTCTTTTCATTATACGGAAACATTCTCCTCGTCCTGTTTTTTGGTCACACATATTGTGCTTACTTTTTCGCAGGCAGCAACAGGAATACATTTTCCTGCTGCTTCACTTCCCTGAAATTCACTAAGATTGCCAATTTCCTCACTAGGGAAAGTGACGTTTAGAGCTGTAAGCTCCATGAGTACCATTACAGCACTCTTTTCTTCAAATTTCCTATCATGTCACTTAAATTCTAAATTCTAAAAGTAAAGTTCTATTTTTAAAGGGAATTATTTACCTTAACTCCTGCAAAAATGAAATTACATTATGGGTAAATAATTTAGACCATTATCATCTTCTATATGAACTATGGTGAGCCTTCTGATTGACCTCCATGCCTCCATTCTCCTCCACTCTGTTTTCCTCCACAGTGTACCAGAAGATTCTTTTGAGACCTTATATTTACAATGAGGTATAGGACTCCAGAGCACTGGCTCTAGAGTTTCTGGGTTGGAATCTCTGTCTTGCCACTTATTAGCCGTGTAACTTGGATAAGTTACTTATCTTTGCTTCAGTTTTCTTTCTGTTAGTAAAATGGGAATAACAACAATGCTACCCAATTGAATTGTTGTGAAAATTTATTGGGCTAATACATGGAGCTGGCACATGGTCAGTGCTCATTAAATGTTAGTTATTGTTATACATCACTCTCCTGCTTTTATTGTCTCTTGGATCATTGTGCTTTTCCCATAGGATTTCACCTAAACTCCTTGGAATGGCATTCAGGGACTTTCCCTAGGGTATTTAATAAAATCTTCTCATTTCCTCCCCTGAGGTCCAGTTCCAGCCCTTCAGAGTATGTTTTAATGTCTGGTAGAGTTAGTATCCCTTTGTAGATTTAGTCAGTTTTTCCTGGCTATTCCTGAATGTGTATTTTTTACTTGAACTTTAATATCAACTTATCTAGCTCCAGAAAAAGTCTGTTGGTATTTTTTTAATTGGGATTTCCTTAAATTTCTGTTAACTTGGGGATGTTAAGAGACACCTTTATGATGCTGAGTCATTCTATCCAAACACAGGCAATATATTTCCACTTGTTAGGTCTACTTTTGTGTCTCTCAGGAGTGTCTTAAAATGTTTCTCATATACATTTACACATTTAAGTTTATTCCCGAGTAATTTAGCCTTTTATATTGCTATTGTAAATAGTTTTCTCTACCATTATGTTTTCTGCCTATTGTTTGCGTATATGAAGGCTACTGTTTTTTTTGTGTTAATTTTATATCCTACTACCCTGCTGAATTATTTTATTGTTTCCATTAGTTTTATCATTGATTCTCTCAGGGTTTCCAGACATGCTATACGTCATTTTTTATATAGAGATAGTTTCATTTCTTCTTTAATCTCTCCAACTGACTCTTTTGTTCAGTTGTATTAGCACATAATCTGTAGTACAACATTAACAGTGGAGAGAGTGGGCATGCTTGCTTAGTTCCTGATCTTAGTGGAAACATTCAGCAAATGCTTTTGTGTTCTACTTTTGTTCATACTATTGCTCCTACAGTCTGGGGTGATAGTATTCCTTTTTTCACCATTCAAACCCCTACCCACCCTTCAAAGCCCAGCTCAAGTGATACGTCCCTTTTTGAAGTCTTCTCATTCTAATCAAATCATTTTGTTTTATTCATTTTTAACGTCATGTAATAATTTAATAAATATGCTTGTCACTCCACTAGGTAGATTGTGAGCTCATCAAGGGCAGGCCTGAGTCTTACTCATCTCTGTATTCCTAGTGCATAGCCAGTGGTTGGCAAACCTCCAGCCCCGGTTTGGGCTAGCCTAACAAAGTTTTTAAAATCCCTCAAGTAGTATCACGAAATTCCAAAATGAAATCAATTTTAATTCACCTTATTTAAAAAGATAAATAATATGGTAGTATTCTACTTTGGGAAAGGGGATTTTCAAAATTAAACTGTTGTAGAGAAGCATTACTATATTCTAATATTCAAATGACCAAAATATTTTTCCATTGGTGATTTTCAATAAGTTATACACAGCTCTCAGGGGCACCAAAATGGGGGAAATATCTATATTATTATATTTTTAATTGAAGTATTATTGATCTACAACACTATGTTAGTTCTAGGTACAGAACATATTGATTTGATATTTCTATACATTACAAAATGATCACAATAAGTCAATAGCAAATTTAGGGCAGTTTTCAAAGACCAAAGTCACCATACAGTTATTATAATATTGTTGACTGTATTCCCCATGCTGTGCATTTCATCCCCATGACTCATTTATTTTGTAACTGGAAGCTTGTACCTCTTAATCTCCCTCACCTATTTCACTCATCCCCCCACACCCCTCCCCTCTGGCAACCACCTGTTTGTTTTTTGTATCTATGAGTCTGTTTCTGTTTTGTTATGTTTGTTCATTTGTTTTGCTTTTTAGATCCCGTATATAAGTGAAATCATACCGTATTTGTCTTTCTCTGACTTATTTCACTGAACATAATACCTTCTAGGTCCATTGATGTTGTTGTCAATGGCAAGATTTTATTCTTTTTTGTGGCTGAGTGATATTCCACTGTGTACACACACCACATCTTCTTTATCCATTCCTCTGTTGGTGGACACTTAGGTTGCTTCTATATCTTGGCTATTATAAATAATGCTGCAATGAACATAGGGGTGCAGATATCTTTTTGAATTAGCGTTTTTGTTTTTTTTTCTGAAAAATAGCCAAGAGTGGAATTGCTGGATTGTATGGTAGTTCTATTTTTAAGAGAATATGAATATTATTTTTAAATTTTTATAATAATTTATCTTCTTACCCAATTCGTATAGGATTTGGACTAATTCCAAGTTGTATGGCCATTCATAAACTTTCTCCATTAGAAGACTGTTATATACAAGGGAAAGGCTTGATCATCCAGCCATGAAAGATTTAAAGGCCAAAGAGTAGGTAGGGAAAAGAGGGGGTAGCAAATGACATTTACCTTAAGTCAATGGCAAATTCAGGGCAGCTCTCAAAGTCTGAAGTAAACTAGTAGGTTTTTAGTTTAATATAGCACAGTAAGCATTATGAAGAGCTATTTGCACATGATATTATACATTGAACAGACACAGATGCTATCATTAGGTCAATTCCAGCCTTTGGATCTTGACCTTGGTTAACACTAGACTCTTCAGAAGCAACTGAGACTATGCCTCCAATTAAAATCAAAGCCAGTGTATTAGTTTCCTATTGCTGCTATAAAAAATTACCACAAATTCAGTGGCTTAAGGCAACACAAATTATCTTACAGTTCAGAAGTCCAAAATGGGTCTCACTGAGCTAAAATCAAGGTGTTGGCAAGGCTGCATTCCTTTGCGGAGACTCTAGGGAAGAATCTGCTTTCTTGCCTTTCCTATCTTCTTGAGATCACCTGCATTCTTTGATTGTGGTTTCCTTCCAGTTTTAAAACCAGCAACGGCCAGTCAAGTCCTTTTCACATTGCTTCACTCTGATGCTGACTCTTCTCTGATTTTCACATTTTTTTTTTTTTTTGGTATGTGGGCCTCTCACTGTTGTGGCCTCTCCCATTGCGGAGCACAGGCTCCGGACGCGCAGGCTCAACGGCCATGGCTTACAGGCCCAGCCGCTCTGCGGCATGTGGGATCTTCCTGGACCGGGGCACAAACCCGTGTCCCCTGCATCGGCAGGCAGACTCTCAACCACTGCGCCAACCAGGGAAGCCCTGCTTTTCACATTTAAGGATCCTTGTGAGTCCACTGGGCCCACCTGGATAGTCCAGGTCACTGATTAGCAACTTTATTCCATTTGCTACCTTAATTCCCTTTTGCCATGTGATATAACATATTCACAGGCTCCTGGGATTAAGACGTGGACATCTTTGGGGGTGCGGGCAGGCCATCATTCTGCCTACCACAGGCTATATCACAGCTAATTTGGGGTGTTTTATCTGGAGCAAGGGTTCAAGAGCTGCTGTCAGAACTGCCCCATGCAGAGGGCATCTTCACCTTCTGATGTGTGAGGATGAGCCAAGAACAGGGATCATTCACTTATTCATTCTTGTTACCTACCATGCAACTCCCACAGGTATTTGTTGAAGGCCTTGTGTTGTAGATGTGGGGTATACAATGGTATGCAAAATAAACAAGAAACGTTCCTAAACTTGATTATAGACTAGGAGGGAGATAGACATTAAACAAATAGTCACATGACTAAATATTTCATAATTTTTAAAAACCTGTGGTAAGTTCAATAAAGGAAAAGTTTAAGGTACTTTGAGAGGATTTAAGGTATGAACTGACCTAATCTAGGAGGTCAGAACGTCTTCTTTGAAATTGGTGTTTGAGCTGAACTGGAAAGGATAAGGTAGTAGTGGGGAGTTGAGTGGATGTGTGGCATGTGCAAAAGCCCCTGTGATGGAGGGAGTTTGCCGGTTTTAAGGAACTGGAGGATGACCAGTGTGATTAGCAGGCAGATAGCCAGGGTGAAACAATGGCACAGAGTGAATGAAACTAGAGTAATTGCTGAGTGCCGATTCATGCCAGATGTAAACAGCCATGTAAATGGCCATATAAAGTACTGTGGCATTTAAAGTATTTGAAGGATTTTAACAGGGAGGGCTGCCAGAGTTGAATTTTTGAAAGATAACTTTAGTTGCAGCTACTATGTGCAGAATGGGATGCAGTGAGGCAAGAATGGAAGTTCAGTTGTGGCATCTGAGATGGTGATTCAGTAGCAATGGAGAGAAGTGGCCAAAGTGGACAGCTAATTGAGGAGGTAAAAGTAGCCGGACTCTGTGATGGATTGGTTATGGGGCTTAAGGGAAAAGGAGGTATCAAGGTCTGGAGCAACAGGTTCACTGCTCACTAAGATCATGAATTCTATTTTGGACATGTTAAGTGGCAGAAATCAAGTAGGTAGTAGGATATATGAAGTTCAAATTCTGTGAGACTCCCTGGCATATACATACGTAGTAATTTCTGCCAGCAGTGTGAAAGAAAGTTCCTAGGGAGAGGGTGCAGGGGAGAGTACTGCCATCATTTAAAGCAGTGGCTCTTAACCAGGGCCAGGGGACGTTGGGCAATGTCTGGAGACAATTCTGGATGTCACAATTCAGGAAGGAGGGTGCTACTGGCATCTAGTGGGCAGAGGCAAGGGATGCTGCTCAACACCCTCCCATGAGCAGGACAGCCCTCACAACAAAGAAGCACCAGGCCTCGAATGTCAGTAGTGTTAAGGCTGAGAAACCCTGATTCAAAGGCTGGGTAGAAGAGGGCAAGCCAGCTGGAAAGTCTAAGAGCAACCAGGAGAATGCAGCATGAGGAAGGTTTGAGAAGAAAGTGTCAGAGTGACTATCAAGTGGGATGGAGACTGAAAATGGTCATTGACTTAAGGATCTGGCAATTTTTGGTGACCATCTTGAGAAGTGCTTCTGTGTGAGGGTCAGGAGCTTTTTTAGATAGGACGGAAGAATAGGAGAATGAGAAAATGGAGAAAGCAAGTGTAGACAACTCTACAGCAGAGGTACGGATGGAGGGAGGAAGGGAATGAGGCTATTTATATATTTTAATGAGAGACATTTGATTATTTTAAAATGCTGACATTCTTATCCAGTAGAGGAGAGGCATGGGAGGGGCTGGGAGTCAGAGACAGGGAGAGAAGGACTGGCTGTAGTCAGGAGTAGATGCTTCTGTCACAGCAGGAGGGAAAGGGGAGAAGATGGATGGAGTCGAGCAGGATGGCCTACAGTGTCTCCCTTTATCTCTGTCTCCCACAGCCTTAGTTTCTTTCTTTCTTTCTTTTTAAAATTAATTAATTAACTAATTTGGCTGTGCCGGGTCTTAGTTGTGGGACACGAGATCTTTAGTTGCATTTGCTGCATGTGGGACCCACTTCCCCGACCAGGGATTGAACCTGGGCCTCCTATACTGGGAGCGCGGAGTCCTAGCCACTGGACCACCAGGGAAGTCCCTGGTGTTAGTTTCAATGGTTCGGGCAGGGTAGTCAGAAGTAGACCACTGATTCCACACTGTGTGCCTTTGGAGTCCAGGGAAGGGTTTTTTTTTTTTTTTTTTTTTTTTTTAGGGAAGGGTTTTATTTTAGGATGTTTTGGGCCACTCAAGAAGGTTTTGGGTATTTCATGAACCATCACTATTCAAGTTAGGGAGACCACCTTGGCTGAGCTTCTGAAAAGGGGTATTTGATGAGCGCTAACTTGCTTTGAATAAACAGTACAGTTACTTTTTTCCCCTCCAGTTTTCTTGCATGTTCTTTGGAGCAGTTTCTTCTGACCAACAAGAACACTTCAACCACCCTTTCCACAGTCTGGCAACAGCAAGTGACAGTGAAGAGGATGTGAATAATGGCAGTTTTTCCACATTCTAACACTTAATGACGGCTGAGCTGGCCCCCCACCCATTTACTGGCTCACTTGCACCTCAAGCACATTTTCACACTTAAGCCTATGAAGATATTGTCTTGGACTTCCTTGAAATAGATAATGGGCTGCTAGTTTTCTAAACATCTTATTATTATACAACAACCATATCTAGAAATAGCTGCTTGTCAAGTACGTGTGATTTGCTTTAAATCCATTATGCTTCTTGGGAGGGAGAAGAGTTTTCTGTGCAGGGAAAAAGCTCATTAGAATTCTTCAATTCAGGGACTTCCCTGGTGGTGCAGTGGTTAAGAGTCCGCCTGCCAATGCTGGGGACACGGGTTCAAGCCCTGGTCCGGGAAGATCCCACATGCTGCGGAGCAACTAAGCCCGTGCGCCACAACTGCTGAGCCTGCACTCTAGAGCCCATGAGTCACAACTACTGAAGCCCGCATGCCATGCTCCGCAACAAGAGAAGCCACTGCAATGAGAAGCCCGTGCACCACAACGAAGAGTAGCCCCTGCTCACCGCAACTAGAGAAAGCACGCGTGGAGCAATGAAAACCCAACACAGCCAAATAAATAAAATTTAAAATAATAAAAAAGAATTCTTCAATTCAGTGCACATTCACACTAGAGTTTTTAGCATTTTCTTTACCAGTTTTATAAAGGTATTTAAACTTTCTTTAGCAGCCATTTTGAGTGCATCAATATGGCTTGTAGAGTTCAGGTATCTTCTGTGTTTGATTGCAAACATTTGAGTTTTGGTGCTTTCAGACATAGTAAAAAGTTATGCATGTAATGCCATAACATTTTTGGTCTATTGCTTGCTACATTTTATTAAGATTTTAAGTAAAAATGTATGACTTTAAACTTTTGCAGTGTGATACAGAAAAGAAGTGATGCCAAAAAATTATTTCTGTATTATCTGATATAGAACAGCAGCCTCCACTGCCAAGAAAGCCTGGGTTTGGAGGGGAATGAGGTAGAAGATGAATGTCTCTGTTCTTTGCCTCTTTAAGAATTAGCTTCTTACCTGCACAGAATAAAAAATCTGGCACAGAAATACTGTTATATAACATCTTATGATGTGTGCCTCTCCCTCTCCCAAACCTGTTTAGAGTCAATTATAACCTGACAAACTAGACTTTTGTAACACCTTAATTGTTAAGCCTGTGAAACTATCAAATCACAAGGAAATGTTAATTGGCAAGCAATTGTGCTTTAGATTTTGTGAGGAATTAATAAGACAAAGGTGGCTGAGTGGATTAGTAAACTTTAGAACCGTGAACAGCGTTCAAACTAAAACCAGAATGAGTTTGGCTCTTGTAGCTTGGTAATGAGTCATAGCTACCCACAATAACCTAATAAAAACTCAAGTTCATCCCAAAATGTTCCTCAGTGAATGAAACTGGGCTTTCATCAAGATTTTTTTGGAAACTGGCAATGCCCACATAATTTCACATTGTAGGCTAAAGATTTATGTATCTTTTGCTTACACTGATGACTAACACTGAATTTCACATATTCCTAATAAATGCAGATGACTACACGGAGAACATTTATACCTGAGAGTAACTGTAGGTCTCCTTGCTGAGGATGAAGTTTCTGGTTCGCTCATTGAAATGGGCTAGGGCAGTTTCAGCTGTGAAGGCATCATCATCATCAGTAATCACCTAGATGCAGCACTGGTCTGTAAAAGACAGTTACACTGTCAAATTGTATATAGTTTGGTTTTTAGAATTTGGATACAGAATGCTAAATTTAAGACACCAGATTTTTGTTTGACTTCACATACCATTTAGAAGATGCAAAAGGCTTCTCAGCTGGGAAACCATCTATATGTTACATTCAATTATTAATCCAGTTTGACAAATTTTTGAGGAAGCTAAACTGATGTAGTAAATGAGCTGGTGAAAAAGAGCCTTACTGAATAAACTAGTAAAAGACAGAAATGATAGCTACAAAGTATTGAGTCACTGCTAGACTGACTAAGAGGCTTGGAAATGAGGACCTGATAGGGACCAACAAAATCAATGTCAAGGGCCAGTGTCTTATTTTGTTACTACTCAAATTAAAAGGAGTACACAGATTAGTATAAATACTATATTTATTAAATATCTTTACAGTTTATTTAAATGTATTTACAGAACTATTCCTGCATAAGTTATACTTCAGACATCCAATTCAGGTCACTGCCTCTTGGGTAAGACAAATAATGATAGTCTCAACAGAAAAAAGCAGCTCATTAGTATACACAAATTCAGACTTGCTTCATTATTTAGCCATCTTTGCCACAAACTACCTGCTTACAGTTAAAATTTTGACATGGACACTGTCGATTTTTAGTTGAAGTTCAATTTTGCAAAGAATTTAATTTTTTTAAACAATAGAATCCAAATGTTTTCTGTTTCACATTTTGTTTTATAAGCAGATTTTGGTTTTTTGATGTTGTAAAATTTGTTAAATGCAAAAATGTGATAGTTTCCAGGAAAATTGGATGCTGTAGCTTCTACCAAAGATAGCTGGTATAAGGTGACAAGGAACCATGAACTTAATCAGAAGTACAAACATTTACAGTTCTAGCCTATCTTGTTTACAATCTCCAAAACGCTCAAAACTGACTCAGTGAATTCCCACAATTACTGCCTTGTTACATGATGTGGTATGTTGGTGGTACTGAAGGCGGTACTGAAGGCTACTATTCTATCCAGAACGAATGCAACCGATGTGATAAGACACTCGCCCATCATGCAAAGCTCGAAATCTAGTTTCTAATCTAGTTACAGCCCAACTCCCAGACACGCACACCTGGAATGGATTCTTTTGTGATTTAGTACCCATCAACCATGTCAAGCCAGTACAGTAATTCAGGACAAGTAACTTGTTTTCCCCACCTCATTTCTTCTTTCAGTTTTTAGGAGCCTATGGACTCTACTGTGTATCCATTCGGTGAATTCTTTTTTGTGCGCAGGCAGCTTAAGTTCACAGGAAGAAATAAGGTTCTGATATGTTTAGAGTGCACACTTTAAAACAGAACAAAATAAAAATTTCAAGCATGTGATAAAAATATTGATTTTTATAATACAGTATTGCTTTATAAATATAGATGGAAAAGCTATAAACTTTACTGGTCTTTGGTGCATCCAGAGAGGGATAAATAATTTGCCATTTGTAAATTAGAAATCCAAATTCTCTTTTGTTATAAAAGTCCACTACATGAGGCAAATGTATCAATATGTGTGTTTATACTGCTTGATTTAAAATACGATTAACACATCAAGTTCAGAATTAGACCCACCAAGTGGTATATCTCAGGCACACCCCACAAAGACTTGGGTCCTGTGACATGGAAAATTCCAGTATGGGTACTACACAGCCTCTGACCACTGACAGTGGAAGGAGAGTTACTTGTTAAGCAGCACTCCAAAAGACCCCCACAGTCATAAAATTAAGTGCATAACACAAAAAGGGCAGGGGAAAAAAAGAGAAAATATTTTGTGTCCCAAATCTACAGGCCAGGTGCAAAGTCAGTTCCCCTGTGAAACTCAATTCTTGTCCCACTATTTTCAACATCCCTGGAACAAACACACTGTCAATTTCTAATGCTCATTTCTCAAAAAAGACTAAGTTGATTAAATGAGTTGTGTAAAACACCATCAATCTACCTTTATGAAGACAGTGTTTGATGGGTTTAGATGAGTGCAGAGAAAGCCAGTGACGTGACCAGCACTGCTCTTATCTGGAATTAAATGTATGCATTGGAAAATTAATACAAAATATATCCAGATCATAAGGCTCCATACCTCTAACCAGAAATAATTAAAAACCCAACAAAAGAACTGAAGTTGTCAGCCCAAGTGTAAATGTATTCCTTCCAACAAAACCCTTCTGGATGCAACTTTCTTTACTTTTTAAATACACAGAGACTGCAAATAGTTTGTGCAAAATAAATACCCCGCCACTTGCCACTCACGCTTCTGTGTTTTATCAGAGCACGATGGATTCTCATTATTTAAACAGAGTCTCTCTCCACCCCCCACCCCACCCCCCATCTCCTCTACCAAAGAATTCTGTTTTGTCAAGTTAGGGTAGTTAAGGCATTCTGACATGTAATTAAAGGTGATTCAAAATAGATATCTAACATTATGCCAATTTAGGAATAGTAGATAAATTACTGAACGGCTTACAAATGAAAAACTCATTCTTATTATAAATGAAATGCCTGTTACAAGCATGATGCATTGAAATATAGTAATGACATGTACATGGTACATGTTAAACATTTTTAAATAAAACAAAAGCTTGACAGTTACTCAAATATACAGTACAAATTCACAAAACAAAATCTTTTAAAACAAGTTGAGGTAACCTCAAACATAAGTTTTAATGCAATAAACCAGGGAGTAAGTATCTCCTTTAGAAAAAGAGACTTTCTATATTCTCAAGTAGATTCTCATTAGGTTTAACTGCATTCTCATCTATACACCAATGTTACCTGACATATATAAAACATGGCTTTAATTTAAGGATTTCTAAGTATATATATTTTTCTACCACGAAGTTAATGAAGGAGAAAAACTGACCCAAAAATATATATCTTTACAGCAGTCGACTTGTACACAAACCTTAAAAATAAATTTAAATTTGCAGATAATGGAAAAACTGAATGTGGGGTAATTTTATAAGGAAACTATACACTGCAAGATGGCTATTTGGAAACTGTAAACATTAAGCTTGATTCAGAAACCCCTAAATTTCTGTGTAGGGCAAATGCAAATGTCATATAATCACTAGGAGTTTTCCTCGTGGACTCTTGTGCCACTGCCCACAGTGTTCTTTCCACATGGACTCCCTGAATTTGGTACATGCTCTATAGAAAGCAAGGCTACTAACAACAGGTCTGACAGTGAGACAAGGGGTATAGCGTGACCATCAAAGGCCAACAAAATTCAAAGTTAGAGCTGTTCCATTCTCAACCCATCAGGCCTATGGGCCTAAAGCTCCCACATGGGGGCATTATATCAGACAGCTGGGAGGAATTTCAGCTGTAACATATTTGTAGGCTT